ATTACAAAACGCCTCATCTTATCACCAACATAGACTGCAAGATAGCCTTTTGGTACTTCAACACCCTTAGAAGCTTCTTGGGTTGTAGAAAACGATGCTCGTCTAATAATACCAGCTAAGCGGAAACCCATTGTTTTCTATTGCTCAAAACACAACAAAAATATACTGATGTCAAAGGACCTGTATAAGAAGGAAATATTTGAATTGTGATAATTGTGGAAGGCAATAACTTGTGTTGCTTGAGAAACGAAGAAATTCTGTATATATAGTTCCCAATGCCTCAATTAATGATTTTTGGTGGGGCTATGATGGAGTGTACCGAGAGACATGGGATCACATCGTATTGTCTTAGATGTCTCTTTCAAGGATTAGGAAGATCTCATCATCCTATTAGACTTTCTTTTAGATAGATACGTGTGTTTTTTTTCAAGTAGGGTAAACTAATGGCTTTCACTTCAGAAGGTGGGTCTTCTCTTATATCTACAATATGTTAGGTTGATTCTTGGAAGAGTCCCCAAAGACATAACCATATGCCCTTGTCTGTTGGTCCCAATACTCCTATCTAATAATCCTCCACCGATAATTCAAGTAGCCTTCTAACATATCATTTTATCTATATATATTCATGGTTGCAAGAATTTTAGAACCAACACCAATCCTTCACATCCTGAAAAATAAGAAATCATAATACTGAAATTCCAAGTTTTTTTTAGACCATTTTTCGTCTCAAGTACAACCAAATACAATACAACAATTGGTTTTCGTATACCCGGTATCAGAAAGGCATCATTTGCTGCAAACCAAGCAACTTCAAAAGTAGTGGAGGTGCCAAAGGGATATCTTGCAGTCTATATTGGAGAGAGAATGAAGCGGTTTGTGATCCCCATTTCATACTTGATCCATCCTTCATTCCAAGACTTGTTGAGTCAATCTGAGGAAGAGTTCAGATATGATCATCCCATGGGTGGTCTAACAATTCCTTGCAGTGACGATGTCTTCCAAAACATAACTTCACATTTGAATAGTTTATAAATCTCTTAGGCTTACATGGATTTGCTGACACTTTTTGTACAATTGGCATCTTTTCTATTTGTAAAGATTATCCCTTTTTGAGAAATAGGAAGAGGAGTGTTAAAATGTGATACAAACTTCTAGAATAAGCTAGATTATTATAGAAAATACATAGATGTATGCTAGTAAGTACTAGATGATACAATCTCTAGAATTATGTAGAAAATTACATATAGATAGAAAACTCTAGAGCAGATATTTCTAGAGTTTTCTACATAAAACATGAATGATCAGAAATGTATTATCAAGGACAACTTAGAAATTATAACTTATTCATCGCTCATATGGTCTTGCACGCGGCGAGGGTGATGAAGATTTTCTCACTGCTGAATGGTCCCAACCTACCAAATTCAAACTCTGGTTCTTTTGTCTCTCTCTTTTACATATTCAAACTTGGCAGTTTTTTTTTTTTTTTTTCATTTTCAACTCTAACCATGTATTTGGTAGGAAAGAAAAACAAAATGCATGCAAATAGGAAGAGGATAAATAAAATAAATGAAAATATGAGAAATATAATAAACATGTTACAAATTATTAAATGTTTCACGGTCGCACTCCCATCTCACATTTCCCTCCTTGTAAAAAAAATAGAAAGGTATATCCAAAACCTTTTTACTTTTCTTCTCCTAGTATTTATTCACACGCAATCAAACAGTTTCATTATGCCATTTCTGACTTATTTTTATCATTCCCCATTTCCTCCTCATTTTCATTATACCAAACTTTTTTCTTCTTTTTCTTCTCTATCAACACTTTTCTCAAATTCATAAAATTGTATTAGTAGAAAAAGGAGTTTGTTTAATTTATTCTTTCTATTGAATTTTTTATTTTAAAAATAAAAACAAAAAAAAACATAATAAAAGTAGTTTTGGAATTTTCTGAAAACTCATTCCTCTTCTCTAATTTTTTAAAATCAAAAACAGGGTATGTCTTTTTTTTTTTTTTTTTTTTACTTTTTACTTTCAGTTTTGTATTAGTTATGTTTTTTCTTAGAATTTTCACTCTTACTTTAAAAAAAATGCTTTATAAAAACTATAATATAGTATAAAAAATTTAAAATTTAAAAATTTAAAATAAAAATGCAATCAAACACCAAATCATTCATAATTTGTTAAAATTACTAATATGATAATTGTTACCATTCCCTGAGAGGTTTCACGCAGAGCACCGGCACCTCCTGAAGCAAAATTGACACCATACATATATTCATGAATCGGATGCAGGTACGGTGGAAGTAGAGGCAACTTAGCAAACTCAGCTACAAATAAAAAAAAATATATAATAAATTATATTTTACAAATCATATTTTACAAATTTGCACCAAATGATTACAGTTATTTTCATACACAAATTAAATATATCAATAAATATATCACTTTTTAATATAATTTTATTAAAATAGTCAATTCTTTTAATAAATATATTACTTAATTCTAATGGTTAAATAATTTATCTTTAAAATCAAAAGAAAAAAGTGAATAATACTAAATTAAAAAATAAAAATATTATTTATTTTAAAATATTTTTTAAATATTAAAATTGTAGATATCATCTGACGAGAAAAATAATAAATAAGATCCAAAGGTAAAAACTTACAATTTTGAAATATCTTTACATAATTTGAGTAAAGCTTTAAACCAGGTTTCCGATAAAGTTTTAAATTGCCATCACAATCACAGACTTTTTTATTTTTTATTTTTTATCTTAATAGAAAATTGAAGTAAATGCATTTTTTATGATTACCAAGATGGCCATATTGTGATGCCAAAAATTCTAAAACTTAAACCTTAGCTGCAAAATTCCAGTAGTTGATTTTTCTTAAAATATTGGATAAATTTTTTCAAAAGTATTTTTAAATAAATAAATAAATAAAATTTTTTGCAAATTAAAATTAACTTATATATGAACTAATTTGTAAAAAATTTTCATATAATTTCTCTAAAACATTATAAATTAACCCGTATATAAACTATAGTTTTAAGTTATGAAAAACTTTGTTTTACTTTTTTAATTTTCTTCCAATAAGTAGTTTTAGAAAAATTTATATCCAAACATGTCCTTAAAAAAAATTATCGAAACAAACATGCCGTTAAAATCATAACAAAATCACAAACCTGACCTCAGTTTAAAATCATGCCAATGAGTTTTCAGCAGATCAGGCACAAAATTTACTAATTAACCCCTTGAAATGAAATATACTTCAAAAAATATCATATAAAAAATCATACCAACAAAATCTGGTATCATGCGACCGTCAGAAAACCTGCCAGAAGGGTATTTGAAGAAAGTTTGTCCATAGGGAGGATAGTTGGCCTGGTACGAGGTGGTGGTGTTGATGTAGTTGTTGTTTCCGTTGTCAAATAAAGAATCTCCAAATATGAATAGTGCAGCATGTTTCTCAGGCAAGCATGTTCCCATGCTGCTATGGCAGTGGGTGATTTGGATCATAATACCCAAAGAGAACACCAAAAAATAATTTAAACCTTCACCCATGTTTTGTTTCTTAATTACTTGCTATATCTCCTAGCTAGGTGCAAGGTATTATTTATATATATACAACCATTGCACAGTGGTATCATTGTGGTTGAAAAAACAAAAAAAAAAAATATAATAGATTTAATTATTTTTCTAGGTGAAGATCACGTAATAACAACCATTCTTTAAAAAAAAAAATTATTTATCATGAGATTTCTAATTCATTTTAATAACTTTTCCCATGTTTTTTTTTTCAAATATTCTTTTTTTACTATAATCAATTAATAATATAGTAATATAATTGATATAAATTTAAGTATTAATAAAATAAGATAATGATATATTAATATACATTTTAACACTGCAAAAACATTATGGATTATCGAATGAATTTTGTGACCAATGTCATCAATCGCAATTAGCAATAATTTGGCAACTGAATATTTTATGTGAGAAAATAAAAGAAAAAAAGTTGTAGCGATAGATTTAGCATTCGATATATTAGTTGCCAAAATATTTAAAACTTATTGATTGCTAAATCAGCAACAATTATTATTTTATATATATATAAATTACTGTGAAACGTTTTGTTATCTAATATATCGGTCGTCAAACAATTATTATGTTGGTGTCAAACAAATCAGTCGTTAAATGAAATAAAAATAAAATGTAATACTTTTTGATTGAATAATCGGTTGTTAAATAAATTATCAAAAATTTCAAATTTAATAAATTTTTTAATGTATATATCAATATTTCATATATAATTCAAAATAACATAAAAAAAATATTTTATTTTAGTATATAAACTGTTGTAATTTTTTACATTTTCATTTTAAAAAACTAACATAACAGTGACATTATAATATAGTTATTGATAAGAAAAATATTATAATATAGTTTCTTTTATATAAATGAAGACATTTAGATTGTAAGTGTCTTATATTAGTGAGAAAGAGACTTGATACTCCTGGATATTTATTTAGAAAAATAGAAAATAAAAAGTCCATAGTTAAAAATAAGAAAGGAAATAGTATATAGAAGTACCTATAAAAAATAATAGAAGTTAAATGATAGTAGGTGATTTGTGATTTAGATATTTAATAGTTTGAAGTAGTTATGTGTGGAGAAAAGATAGACAGTACTAGAAAGGGATTTAAATAATGTATATAAAAAACTCGCACGTTTTTAAGTACATAAAGTATCTGCAACAAATTAGGATATAAATTAAAATATTTTGTTTATATTTGTTTTTAAATGTTTAAAAAATTAATTTTAAACTAATTGTATCATTGAATAGTTCATTCCTTCTTAAGAAATTTATATTATTATTATATTATAGGTATAATTATTATTTTAAAACAAATACTTTTAAGTATATATATATATATATATATATATATATATATTAAAAAATAACAATAAAAATATCTATAATACTACAAATAAAAGAGGCAAAAGCCACAAGCTCATCTGCAGCAGAGTCAAACAGTACAATGAGCAGGAGAATGAATTGATTAGATTGAAGCGTGAGGGGCAAAGTCAAAACGACCAACTTGGTCGTTCGTCTACATCAGCCTTCATTTCCTCTACCAAGAATTCTCCCTAAACTCTTAAAACGTCATTTCTTCTACGTCTGAACCTTAAAAGTAATATAATTATAGTAAGACATACAACAAGTAGACTAAGACAGAAGGATGAATCGTCTATTCAACTTGATGGCATCACAATATTTCAAAAATCCACTTCCGTCTCTATGATCATTGTAGGAGAAATAGGAAAACAGGGATAACCGCGCTAAAATCTTCTCTGTGCAAATTTCTCATGATGTACATATTTCTAAGTCAAGTCAATAATATATTTACATTTTTTTTATCTAGAATTATTGGCTGATATGGAGAATAATATACTCAATGCTATTTTCCTTTCTTGCTGGATATGATAACTCTTTTAGTGTTAGACTGTTTCCAGAAACTTATACATTTTGTCCAAACAGTCATAATAGAAAAAGAATTTCCTTTTGATTATATAGACTCCTCATGTTGCACATGTTTCTGATAAATGCATTTGTTTTTTTTTTAACTTTTGTTTGATGTATAAATCGATCTTCCTATAACTACAGATTCTCTTACTCCCTAAGCATCTCGCTTACTGCATAAATCTTTCTGATGTCTGGATACCCTTAGAAACTCATCTATCTTAATGACTACAAGTGAGGAAAATAATATTGTGCTCCTCTTATCGTACACGTACATTCTTTTTCCGTGTACGTTTGTAGTTCAACTCAATCCAATTTAACTAAGTATATATGTTTCATATAGAGTCATCATCTTAAATGAAATGCTTCGATTTGTGTTTTCATATCTGTGCTGATCAAAGTTATGATAAATAATTTTGCATGGAATCTCACTTGTTATATTACTTATTTTAAAGTAAAGGGTCTCTTAGAAACTATCGCTCTACCTGGATATTCACCCTGATATTAATTTCTTTTTGATGATTACAAATGGGGAGAAATAGAAAAGAATTAATCAAATAAGCTATCTAAATCAAAAACAATCAAACACGACTAAGAGACAATATAGTAAGGGGGAGAGCATATACCAAGGGGGAGAAACAATCTAGTAAGGGGGAGAGCATATACTAAGGGGGAAAAATACAATGAATTTTCCATACCATACAAACACTCTCTGATTTAATTTATCTGAAACCATTTGATCAATTATATTTGTCATCATCAAAAAGGGAGAGATTGTTAAGTCATATGATAACTACCTTAATCCCTAAAAATTAATTAAAATATTTTTTTAGTAAAAAAATTTTAAATATTAAAGAAAGTCACCCACTACACCAATCTCTTTGAAAATTTCCAGTGATATTACTACAAATTTACTTCTAAGGATATATAACATGATGAAAAAAAAAAAAAATATTAATACCAATAAAAAGGTGATTAAATAAAAATATTTAATCATTAGTACTAGCTAATAATATATATAATTTTTTTTATTTAATTAGTAGTAACAAATATATATTCTACCATATATAAATAAAATAAAAATATAATATATTAATATAGTAATAATATTATTAGTCTAAATTTATTATTAACACTAGTAATAAAAAGGGTATTTCGTGTCTGCTTTAAAAAAATTAAATATTTTTTAAAATAAGTTAATAATTACATTTTAAAAAAATTATTATTATTTTTTTCATACATTCCTTTCCTAATTTTATCTTTAGATATATTGGTGGAAAAAATTATAATACAAATATATATCACATGTACATTAAAAAAAATTGTTGGTTTAGTGGTTAAGTATTTACTTAGAGTTAAGTCTCAATTTTTTTATATTTTACAATAGCACAATTGCAAAAAAAAAAAAAAAAATTCCTAGCAACTATCAATGTTAAGATAATTTTTCCAGTGACAACAAATTGGTTGATATGACAAAACACCTTTTTATAGTATGTTAATGTTGTTGGCATTAGAGAGTATTTTTTCCAGCAATACTTAATGCGTTGATATTTAAAAACATCTTTTCGCAATGATTGTAAGCGTTGTTGGCATAAAAAATGCATTTCCCATCGAATGCGGTACATTTAAAAACATCTTTTTGTAATGATTGTAGGCGATATTGACATAAAAAAAAGCACATTTCCCAGCGACATCAAATGCGTTACATTTAAAAACATCTTTTTGCAATGATTGTAGGCGTTGATGGCATAAAAGAACAAATTTCCCAGCGACACATAGTTTTTGCAACGATATTTTTCTAGTTGACAAAAATAAAGTCTTATTGTAACAACATTTAAATATTGTTTGCAAATGTTTATTTTTACCAACAACTCTTTTATCGTTGTAAAATAGTCATTGCAAATAATATTATTTCTACTATTGAATTTTAGGCATATGAATGATTGTTCAAAATACAAATATGTGAAAGCATAATTATTCCAAGATGTAAAAAAATACAAAGCATAATATTTTAAATTGTAGATAAAATACTGACAATGTACTAGAAATATTCTAAGAGAAAACTAGAGTTTTCAAAATAATTCAAAATAATCCAAAATTCAAAATATATTATTTCCCTCTTTTAGCACCAACAAAAAATGCTAGTCCAAAAAGTTATCATCATCATCGCCCTCAACAAAGCTCAGTTGAATGTTGAGACGAGCAAGCACCCTAGAGAGTTGGAATCTTTGGCATTGGACTCGATGTTCCAGTCTTGTTGTCTAAGCATATGTAATGTACAGCTCGATAGAGTCCAATGATAACGTAATCATGATCTTCTTCTATGGCCAACGAAGGAAGACACTAGTGGAAAAAAAGGCTTTTAAAATCGGTTATTTTTAACTTTTAAAATTGGTTCGTAACCGATTTTAAAATAGCTGATTTTAAAAGTTAGACTTTTAAAATCGGTTAAATAACTGATTTTAAAAGTTAACTTTTAAGATCGGTTGTCTTATAACCGATCTTAAAAATCCTGGCCAAGAAAAAAAAGTAAACTGGAATGGGCTGTTCCAAAACTGGAACGGGCCGTTCCAAATTGTGAAAAAAGGCTATTTGGAGAACGGAATCAGAACGACCCGTTCTCCTTTCAGTACGGGCCGTTTTCCTTAAAGAACGGGTCATTCTCCAAGTAGAACGGCCCGTACTGCAGAACGGGTCGTTCTCCTTTCAGAACGGGCTGTTCCAGCTTCAAAATTTAGCCAAAATGAACCTAGAACAAAAATAGAAACAAGAGAAGCGCATGAAAAAATGAAAAGAGACATAAGAAGAGGAAAACGAAAATGAAAACGAAAACGAAATTTACCTCTTTAGAAAATGAGAGCGCGAGAGAGTAAAAAAATGAATGGAGGGAAAGATTAAAGAGAATGAGAATGAAGGGAAATATAAAAGGTTTCTGACAATACTTTTAAAATCGGTTATTTAAGAACCGATTTTGTATACTACATACAAAATCGATTCTGAAATAACTGATTTTAAAAGTAGTACTTTTAAAATCGGTTAT